CCCCACCCCCTCTCGGTGTCGGCGCCTCTGCCGCAATATAGTATGGCTCTGATAGAATACAATGCAGAGGAAGACGCGTGTTATTACCAGTCCTGATGTACAGAAGGCGAGTCTCCCTGGGTGGCCAGACTAGAATCTTGCTCAGAAATCGACGAGACGCGATTTAAGTCCGTCAAGCCCGGGCGATGCGAACTTGGTGCCGTCATCCCCGAGAGGCTGGAAGTCGGAGTTCCGTCAGAGGGTAAGCCGTGAGGCTGCCCCCTTCGCGGGACCCTAGGGATGTCGAGTCCGCAAGCCTGCACGCTCGTTCCGGGTCTTTTGGAGCTCTTCATCTTGGTCTGCCGAAGCCAGGGCGCACGGGACGACAGGCCTCCCAGGCGCGCAGGCTGCGACCGCCTCCTCGTGGGGGTCTCGTGAATATCTGCACAGAAAATTTTTGTTAGACGAACCCACTGGGGTCGTCCCTACCTGACAGCGCGGCGCAGCGACATGGTTAACAAGCAGGCCCTCCCCTTCTGCCAAACAGAGTTGCCAGCTCCACTTCGCTGCACCGGCAACTCCGTTCGTCAGGGGCCGGGCCTGCTTGGCCTGCCAGCGGCGATAGTCGGCCCTGGCCTTCGGTCATTACAGTCTCGCGATTTACCGAAGTGCATAATCAATTAAATAATGTGACAAGTAAATCACTTTGCATTTTTGAGTAAACTAACGCGTCCGGTGGGTGGGGGCCCTGCGGCCCTAGAAATTTGGTCCTTGGACATGACAAAAGACTGTAACGGGGCAACACCGTGACTACACCCCACCCTTCTGCTTTGCTTAAGAACTACAAAAAAAGGACACGCGCAGATTGTATACTGTAGATTGTATAATGTTTGTCAAAGTCTTAAAACTTGACTTTTAGAAATTATTTTTAAGATATCTACCTCTTGCACCTAAACGGTTAAAGATACGTAAAACGGAGGGTTCTTTCTGACTCAGAATGTGCTATTTTGGGGGGGTACTTCCTCTGACATTTTACGATTGGACGCCTCCTTGTACGTCTTCATGTGCAACGTGGTCATTTTCACCGTATTTCCGTCGAAAAAAACCACTCTAGCGCCCAAACAGTGCAAGATAGAGGCAAACGGACGAAATTTTAGCCCAAAGGGCTCTACGTTCACGAGTTACCCCTCAGGGGCCCATACAAAACACTGATTTTCTACCTTTTGGACCAACCCCTATTTCTTTGTTACCTCCTTTCACCCCCTTAGGGGTGATTGCCAGGATTTGCACCAGGCGTTTCGTTGTCCAGGAGTGACCCCTAAGATACCCTGAAATTTGCAGACCTCTAGCTCATCTCCTTCCTCTTACACGGACGACGGACGGACAGACAGACGGACACGAGAGCGGTTGCTTAAGCCCGCTTTAATGCTTTTTTAAAAGCAGAAGGGCGGGCTAAAAACCACCTGTTGCATTACAGCCGGGTCTCACGGAAAAAAGAGACTTATGCCCAGTCCAAAAATCCCATGGAATTCCATGATCTCTTTTCCATGGATAGAGGTCTGTTTTCCATGTGAGATGCACCATATTCCATGTGGTGTCAGTTTCCATGGGCGTTCTACCATAGAAAGGTGTTTTCCATGGAACAAGATTCCATGGAATATCGCTTTCCATGTGAGGACTCTAAGGAAAAGTTCTCACCATGGGTAAAGGCTCCATGGAAAAATTCTTCCCATGCGAGAGGACTTCATGGAACGGTTGTCTTTCCATGGGGTGACCTATCCCATTGGGCACTTGCCTATCTTTACCATGGAAACAATTTCCCATGAAAATGAAAAGTGCTGTCGAATCTATGATTATTGGAATTTCGATCTGAAATTTGGCACGTAGCATCTACAATGAATTTTAGTAGGGCCGTTTAAATTTCATTCAAATCTGAGAACTTTTTTCTGGCAACTCGAAAACGGCTGGAGCTAGGCAAAAACGGACACCAGATTTGGCTCCGCCTCGATTCCGACACCCTACATACATGCTTCATTTCTATCGATTAGACTTCCGTTTGTCTTTTTAGTGGACTTTAATATTTTGGTATTACTCCATGGAGTTAGTGCTCTTCCATGGTGACGGTCAACTGCCAGGGAAACTTATTTCCATGGAAACTACCTCACATGGAAGTGGGCAAAAAATAAATGGAAAGTTACATTCCATGGGGAAATGTCTCCCATGACATTCCTTGATGTCCCATGGCTCATGGGAACGATCATGGGATTTCTAGACTGGGTAGTTCTCAGAACTTACAAATCGCTTGTCCTCAACTCAAAGCACGCATGGCACAGCGCCTCTAGTGGACTCGGTTTCATGAGCGTCTCGCAAAGATACTTGGTTTCATAAGAGGCCCTGCGTCGTGCGTGCTTTGAGTTACGAACGAGTGAAATGAGGTATTTTAGCGGTTAGAAGAACAGGAAGAAGTTAAAAGAAGGCCGCCGCGGAACATAATAAACGGTCAACTGTTTTCTCGACCACTAGGAAGACCAAAGAAAACCTAAGAAGACTGAAAAATACACGAAAGAGCTAGCTCATTTTGACCTTAAATATTTATAGGCAAACCCCCCAAAATTCCGGAAGACCAGAATCATTGTGGGAAGACCGAAACATATCCGGGAAGACCGTATTAATCAGGGGAAGACTAAGAAATTCGTCGGAAGACCAGAAAAGTTGTGGGAAGACCAGAAAGATTGTGGGAAGACCAGGGAAAAAATGGCAATTGAAAGCCAGGAAGACCAAGGAAGACCAAGATAATATTAAGGAAGACCAAGAGAATACCCCAAAAACCAAGAGAAAATCGAAGAAAACCTCATTTAGCCTTGAAATTCTTTAAGAAAACCAAAGAAAACTCAGGAAGACCGAATAAAACGTAAGAAACCCAAGAAAACCACTAGATGACCAGGAAAACACAAGGAAAACTCAGGAAAACCGGGAAGCCTACATCATGTGTACACCCGCAGACCACAGTTGGGGACCCTTCGCAGCTAATAGTTGCCTCCGTCAAGAGTTAGTTGCGACAGCGAATCTGTATTCTGACAGCGTAACACTTTGTAAGAACAAACCGGTTGGCTACTGCAGCGACAGCGCTGTAGGAAATAACTTTTGACCATGAGACTAGAACGGTGTAATAGACAGGAGACCACCAGGCGGAAGAAACGGTCCTACGCGACCGTAAACCATGCGCGGGCCCAGCCGTGCGGCCGTCCGTGCTGGAGTTCTGCAGAGCGCGTGAGAGCAGATTGAAAATCTTAAACTTCAGTACCTTGCCGTGTTAACCTGTTAACCCTGTATGCGTTGCAAAGCGCACGGTCTGTACTTTCCATAGGTATTTTTGTCGTAATTATCCGAGGTCTGGGAGCTGAGATACTTTAGGTAGAATACGAATGCTACCTAAAGTTTCGCAGCTCGCAGAGATTTTCAAGATTTTTAATCAACTCTCACGCGCTACACAGCGCTCCGGCGGCGGGCGGCGGTGGAACGGCTGGACCCGCGCATGGTTTACGGTCACGTGGGAGCGTTTCTACCGCCTGCGACCACCTATATAAGCTGTTACAGCAAATTTCTTGTATATCCCAAAATTACCTCAATTATCAGTTCTGGCAAGCTAATTCTTTTCCGTGGTGGTAATCAACCCAACAATGACTAGTCCACTCCGCGCGCGCCCGCCACCTTTGCGGAAAAAAAAGGGTACAGTTATGAAACAAAGGGTGCATAAAGGCACTCACACACCACGAAAAGGAACGCACCAATAATTTAAACAATACTTTACATGCCTTCAAAGTTCCTATGACACCTTGGGCGATTATATTTCCTAAACCTTAGGCTGGATTTGCATTTTGCAGTTTACAAAATTCCAATTCATTTCATGAATTCCATTCGAAAGAGACAGAAATTCTCCTTTGGATGATACCAATATTACATTTTCGATTAAAAAAAGCGACTTGGGCGGTTTCCCGGAGCGTCGAGGCGTGAAATGGTAACGCTCAATATCGTCCGAATCTCGTCGTTTTCTTTGAGGTGAAAAACGACCGAAATACAACCAATGTACGAGGACTTATCGAGGTTTCTCGTCACACCTTCGATGCTTCCACGCCGTAGACCAGCCGTGCTGTGGTCGCGCCACTGGTAAAATACACGACCAAAATGCGACGAGATCACGTCGAGACGGGAAGACCCATTGTCACCAGCGCCTCGACTGTTTCTCGTCGTAATCCCGTCCCCAAAACTACGACCAATAAGCAACGTAGTGGCTGGACCGCTGGCCTAGCCACCGCCGCCACGTCTTATACAATCGTCACGCGACCAGAAGGTTCCCACTACCGCCACGGCGCAACCCCACGCGTCATGAGATATTGTCTAGCGATATCCGGGCGTTCAATGTGCTGCTCTCGTTCTGGTTAAGGGGATACACTTGCTTCTCTACAAGAGAAATTACCATGCTTTCCGGAGTAACCTGGTGATGAAAGTCTGTTTTTATTTTATTTTGGTGGTTATTTAAAATCCTATGAATAGAATAATTTTATCTGAACAGTCATTGTTTGCTGTTTTATAACTCGCTTCGTTTTTCATTTTTTCGGTTTAACTCAATGAGTGCAGCCAAGTGTTTGTAAGCGGAGCTCTACTTCACTATTACTACAGAAGTTACAAGGCAGCGCCCAAGCACTTCAAAACAGTACTAAAACATCTCCTACCGGAAGGGTTGCTCCGTTGATCAGGCATGCCATATTTAGTCTGGAGGGGAAAGGCGAGACTGTAGCTGTTCCGGTGTTGCTACTCAGTGCAATAAGTAGTAAGACGAGTAAGGCATGTATGTGCTTTCTCATATGTACTATTTAATGTAAACTCTACATTGAATTCATTTCATCCTTTGTTTTCTAGCCTATGTGTCCACAAACACCGGCGCAAGTGAGGGCGACGGGCGACTACAACCCCCAGTCAATTGTGCGCACTTGTGTGTACAACCGTCGGGATCAGCAGCACAAGAGGCGAAGTGCCCCACGCAGCGGCGCGCGAATAATCCACCAGCGCCTCCACCCCCGACCACTTCTCCACATCCACCCCCGGCTCCATCTCAACCCCTACCTCAATCCCCGCCTCCACCTCTAGCATGACCTCCACCCGAGCCTCTGCCTCCACATCTAGCATGATCTCTGGCTTCAACCCTGGGTTCACCCCTGGCTTCATCCCCCGCTGCGCCCCCGGCTTCGCCCCCAGCTCCACCCATAACTCTGCTACCGTTGTGGGATTCCAGCCTAGCGGAGCCCAACCCCATTATCTCTGGCGGGCTGTTGAGCAGCTTTCCGACCAACAGTACTAAGACGTTGCTCACGGGGACGACGACAGCTCATCGTCCTCCGCGCTCACCCGGCTGGGCCTTGGTTTCGCGGGGTACAAGTTGCTTGCACCAGGACTCCTATCACAAGCCAACCGTGTTTAATTTTAATTTTGTTGACAAAGTCTATTTTCTGTTTGATTTTTAGCAGGTGTGATATCTTAACATTTTGACTAAACTTAAAGAATATAAAAGTAACTTTAAGGTGTGAGCTAACTTTTACTCTCCAAAAGGACAGAGAACCAAGCTTATACCAAAAAATAATCACTTGGCCGATGCACTGCAAAAAATTATGACAGGAAAACTACAGATCGTCCTGCTAATTATTTTCCAGGAACTTCTGTTATTCGAATAACAGCATCGATGTAGTTTTTATGGTTAAAATTTGGTACAGGGAGCAATGTACAGGACCACTGTAAGGCAAAAGCGCGGACAAAACTGTCTACAGTGGAGCCGTATTCGTACACTGTACCGTGTAAATCCTGGGCTTTCCGGTGCTACAGCAACACT